TGTATAAAGAGGGACAATCTATATTCTCCAAAATATCTAAAAAACTGAAACTCTTCATTCCTGCAAATCTTGTCTCAAGTCCTTTCATCCTTCCTGAAGTGGGTGCTCTGAATTGTACACAACACTCTCTACCTGAGACCAGGAAGTGTTTTGTAAAAAGCATTGTAACTTTCTTGCTATTGCATTCGTGTCTTAATTTTTAAGTCCCAGGATCTCATTGGTTTTAATGCTCTCTCAAATTGCCTTGTAACCTTCAAAAACTTGTGTACAAATACGCCCAGGTTTCTTGTTCTGACGTTCCTTTCGAATTATATCAATTATTTTAGGACCACATTTATTTCTGCCGCAACACAAGGGAAACTAATCCTGAAGATGTAACAGTAGCATTTCTAAACTCTTTAATCACATAATTAATTTTGTGAAAGTTATTGACTTGGATCTGTGGAGTGGGAGTGAAACTAAGAAGTGTATGGATTGCTTGGCAGCTAAGTCTCAACAATGATCCATACATTCACCGTAAGTCTTCGAACCAACCAGTGGCGACAATTCCTTGAACAATGCTTCCTGATGCCTTTGCAATAGATTGCAGGATTTAGTACATTTTATCTAGACTGGCCATGTTTAAAAATGCACTAACCCCTTCTGTTACCTCATCAGAAAATCTCAATTGATTTAGCCTAACAAGTTACCTTTAACAAATCATGCTGATTCTCCTTAATTAATACACACCTGCAAGTGAACATTAATATTTGTCAAAATTAAAATTTCTAAAAGCTTTTCCACCACCAAGGCTAAATTGACAGGCCTAACATTCTGGATTTATCTTTGCAACTATTTTTGAATTGCAGCACAACATTTCTAATTCTTCTGGCACCAGACCTGTAAGTATGGAGGATTGGAAAATTTTCCAATGTACTTCCACAATTTCCACTCAATTCCTTCAGCATCATCAGATGAATCACATCAAGTCCGGATGATTTCATGCACAGTAAGTCTTTATCATACCTCCTTGAATATTTTTTAGCCCATTCAGTATACCGTCACAATGATTTTAGCAAAAAAAAACATGCTGCTAAAGACAGATGCAAAGTACTTACTTAGTGCTTCAACATGCATGCCCAGACGTTCATGCTTCTATCTTAGTTGATAATTAGACCCATCCCCCCTCTGAATATTCATATGGCTACAAAAGACTAAGACCATAAGACACAGGAGCAGAAGGCAGCCACTCAGCTCATTCAGTGAGATCATGGCCAATATGATAACCCTCAACTTTACTTTCCTGCCTTTCCCCATAACCTTTGATTCTTTTACCGATTAAAGATCTCCCTACCTCGGCATCATGACCCAGCATTAACAGCTCTCTGCGGTAAAAAATTTCAGTGATTCACTACCGTCTGAGAGAAGAAATTCCTCCTCATCTCTGTCTTAAAGTACAACCCTTACTATGAGATTATGCCCTCTGCTCCTAGGCTCTCCCACAAGAGGAAACAACCTCTCTGCATCCATCCTAAACTCCATGAGTCTTTCGGATTCCCTTTTATATTAGCTGGTCTTGTCTTCTCATGCACTTTCTTTGATTCTGATTCTTTTTCTTCACTTTGTCTCTGAGCTTTCTAGAAAATATCCGTCAAATGATCCCTTTTCCTATTCAATCTTTCTCTTCTCTCTTTCATGTCATCCAAGGAACTATGGCACCAGTTCCCTACTTTTCCCATCGAATCAACCATGACTGTACCCCAAACATTTCCTCCATAAATGCAACACATTGTTCAACTAAAGTCATGTGTGTCAGTGTTTGATTTCAATTTCCTTGGACAGATTCATACTTAACACTGCGGAATGTCTACAGGATGGATTTTTGGAGCAGCTTATAGCAAAGCCCACTAGGGAACAGGCAGTTCAGGATTTGGTGATGTATAATGAGGCAGACCTGATTAGGGAGTTTAAGGTGAAGGAACCCCTCGGAAGCAGTGACCATAATATGATAGAATTCACCCTGCAGTCTGAGAGGGAGAAGTTGGAATCAGATGCAATCATACTACAATTGATTGGTTAACTATAAAGGCATATGGGAGGAGCTGACCAAAGTTGATTGGAAGGGGAGCCTAGCAGGGAAGACAGTGGAGCAGCAGTGGCAGGGGTTTTTGGGGCTAATTCAGGAGGCACAGCAGAAATTCATCCCAAGGAAGAAGAATCACACTAAGGGGAGGGTAAGACAACCACAGATGACAATGGAAGTAAGGAACAGCATAAAAACAAAAGAAAAATCATACACCATGGACTGGGTATCCTTTAAAAACCAGCCAAGGACAACTAAAAAAGCAATAAATGGGAAGAAGATGAAGTATGAAGGTAAACTAGCTCATAATATAAAGGAAGACTACAAGACTTTTGTTTTAGATACATAAAAGGTAAGAAAGAGGCAAGAGTGGACATTGGACCACTGGAAAATGAGGTTGACGTAGTAGTAATGGGGAACAAAGAAATGTTGGAGTAACCGAATACATACTTTACATCAGTTTTCACAGTGGAAGAAACCAGAAGCATACCAGAATGTCGAAATAGCCAGGGCAGAGGTGAGTGTAGTGGCCATCATGAAGGAGAAGGGGCAAGGGAGGCTGAAAAGTCTGTGTAGTGATAGCAATGAGGTCAGCCAGGTGGACGTCATAGAATATGAGTTCCCTGATTGGACGAGATTAACAGCCACAATCAGGGAGCCTTGGCTGATAGATATCAACAAGAGTGTCAGAGGTTCTGCTCACACTGACAGCTGGTTCTGAAGAAGCTAGATTAGTGTCAAGGACTCTCCACGTGTAAGTAAAGGATGACTTAATGACGAGATAGTGGATGTTGTGGAGTTATTTCAGTCTGAAGGTGGATAAGTCACCCAGACCAGATGGACTACACTCCTAAGTTCTGAAGGAGATATCTGAGGAGATTATAGAGGTATTGTTGGTAGCGAGCTTTCAGGAATCACTGGAGTCAAGGAAGGTCCCAGAGACCTGGAAAATGGTTAATGTAATACCTCTGTTTAAGTAAGGAGGCAGACAGAAGACAGGAAACTATAGGCTGGTTAGCCTGACCTTGGCCGTTGGTAAGACTTTAAAGTCCAGTTTTTAGGACGAGACTGCGGAGTACTTGGAAGTGCACGGGACTCAGTCAGTATTGCTTTGTCAAGAGGAGGTCATGTCTGACAAATCTGTTAGAATTCTTTGAGGAGGTAATGAGCAATTTAGACTAAGGAGAGCCAGTAGATGTGATTTATTTGGATTTCCAGAAGGCTGCTAAGTAAGATACAAGCACATGGTGTTGGGGCAAGATACTGGCATGGATAGAGGATTGGCTGACTGGCAGAAGGCAGTGAGTGGGGATTAAAGACTCTTTTTCAGGATGGCAGCCGGTGACTAATGGAGTTCTGCAGGGATCAGTGTTGGGACCACAACTATTTATGTTCTATATTAACGATCTGGACAAAGGTAAGTTGATAAGTTTGCAGATGACACAAAGATAGCTGAAGGGACAGGTAGTGTTGAGGAAGCGGGGCACTGCAGGAGGACTTGGACAGGCTAGGAATGTGAGCAAAGAAGTGGCAGATGGAATACAATGTGAGAAAGTATGAGGTTATGCACTTTGGTAAGAAGAATAGAGGTGCAAACTAATTTCTAAAGGGAGAAAGGCTTTGGAAATCTGAAGCAGAAATGGACATAGGAGTCCTAATTCAGAATTCTCTTCAGGTTAACTTGCAGGTTCAGTTAGCAAATGCAATGTTCACATTCATTTCAAGACAGCGAGGATACAAGAGCAGGGATGTTCTGCTAAGGCTGTATAAGGCTCTGGTCAAACCAGATTTGCAATATTGTGAGCAGTTTTAGGCCCCATACTTAAGGAAAGATGTGTTGGCATTGGAGTGGGTCCAAAGAAGGTTCAGAAGAATGATCCTGGGATGAAGGGTTTGTTGTCATATGAGGGGCAGTTGAGTATACTGGGTCAGTACTTGATAGAGTTTAGAAGGATGAGGGGGATCTGATCAAAACTTAGAGAATATTGAGAGGCCTGGATAGAGCGGACATGAAGACGATGTTTCCACTAGTAGGACAGAAAAGTACTCAAGGAGACAGCCTCAGAGTGAAGGGAGCAACCCTTGAGAACTGAGAGGAGGAAGAATTTCTTCAGCCAGAGGGTGGGGAATCTGTGAAACTCATTGCCACATTGTGGAGACCAATTTATTGAGTATATTTAAGACAAACGTAGATATGTTCTTGATCAGTAAGGGGATTAAGGGCTATGAGGCAAAGGAAGAAGAATGGAATTGAGAAACATATCAGCCATGATCAATGGCGGAGCAGACTCAATGAGCCGAATGGCCTAATTTCCTCCTTTATCTGATGGTGTGATAGTTTAAATGAGACCGTCTCCCTCAATGGTTTTCTTTACTTGAGATTGCTCCTTGCCATTTTCAACAGCTAAACTAAACTTTGTGATGCCATGAACACTGTTCTCCGATTTTTCTTTCCTATCATTAGCCACCTCATTCCCCAGAACATGATCCAACAATTCTAATTTTCAAATTAGGCTGGAAAAATGCTGATCAGGAAGGTTGTTATGAACACACCTCAGAATGTAAGTCTGTATGAAAATAACAGGAGATGCAAACTTAGACTGGAATGTTTACCAAAACCAGAATTCATTGCTGTGTATCTGCACTCAAAGAGGATGCTCAACATTAAAATTAAGAAGGCATTAGAATGGATGCAATCCCTGTACCAGTATTTGAGTTCTGTCTGAGCTAGTCTCCCTTATACCCTACCTCCACTAAGAAAATATCCAGCACATCTTATGGACGATTTTAATAATTTCTAAACATTCAGAAACAAACAGAACTCAGAAATAACTGAACACTTGCAAACTACCTACAAAATTAAAATCAGGCAATGGGAAAATTATTCAAAACAAATTGGTTTCTGCAAACACAAAGAGATAAATTATCAACATGGTACCTCGTTTTTGTGCACCAAAGATAAAACTAATTCGAGTGAACAGGTCAGAGCTTTCATATTTCTCTTCATTTGCTTTTATCCAGAAGCAGTTCTCAGGCATTTCAAGTGGTCTAATCTGTGAGAACAAAGCACAAATCAAAATGTTGGGTTAAATGATCTGTGTTTGATGTTTGATTCAGTAACTTAATTACTTGAAACAAAGTGGATGAAATTTAAGGAAAAATATTTTGGTAGCTATTAGGAAGTTACATTTGTTTTAAAGTTGATGCATCACAATTTTACTTGGTTTGAAGAATCTTGAAGCTTATCCCAAATATGGCTGTCCTTGTCCAGACATAGCTTTGAGCCCTCTTGTGGTGCACTGGTAGAGTACCTACCGCTAGGCCAGGAGGCCTAGGTTCAAGTCCTACCTGTTCCAGAGATGTTTAACAACTTGGATGAACAGGTTTATTAGAAAAATAAGTTAAATCACAAAAAAGTCAAGCCTATTAACTTACTGGCAGAAAAGTGTGACATTATGTTTTGTACAGCACCTAAAATACAATTGTCAGAAACATTTGTTATGAGTTGCAGGTTAATTTTCATTTCAGATATCTATGATTGACCATTAAAATTTCTGATAACACTCCAGATCACAACACTGTACAAAGTGCTGATCTCTCTCAATATTGTGATGAAATCCATTTCCAGCATTCTATGGGAGTGTAATCTTCATGGTACTACATTCGACGGTTTCAAAATGTTACTAACATTCAATTCTGTGTCACAATTACAGCAAGGTTTTCAATAGATCACTCAGGATAGTTTGGGGTACAAAAAGGAGTTCAAAGGTTACAGAAGAGGTCGAAAATGCAGAGAGACAGAGACTGACTCCATGTTAGGACTACTGCTAGCAGCACTGCAAGATTGGCAACTGAGCACCACAGAATCTGAATAAAGTGCATCTTGAGGCAATGACCTAGTGGTATTTTTGCTAGACTATCAATCCAGAGGCCCAGGTAATGTTCTGGGGAACTGGAAACAAATGCCGTCATGGTAGAATTTGAAATCAATAATAATCTGAAATTAATCGTCCAATGAAGACCGTGGAAACTGCTGTCCTTCCCTGGGCTGGCCTACACATGACTCCAGACCCACAGTAATATGAATGACTCTTAACTGCTCACTCGGAAATTAAGGATGGGCAATAAACACATATACACGCACATGCACACACACATACGCGCACATGCACACTCTCTCTCTCTCCCATCCACACAACACACTCTCCCGCTCTCACATACACACAAACTCTCTCCCCCCATAAAATCTATGCGGTGAATTTGCATTTGCAGGTTTGTAATTTGAGATACATTCTATTTTGTTCAAAAAGCACACAATTTGTAGACAGTCAATGTGACATTTTATAAATTTCTACTTTGGAAATAAAACCAGTCTGACTCCAGGTCGATACACAGCCAGATTCTAAACAAGGCCTCACATCTAAATTGCATTATCTGACCTGGGATGTCACCTCTGGTGTACTGAGGGAATTGATAAAACCTTTAGTTATCTTGGGGCAGTAACTTGAAAGAATTTGTGTATTAATCCTTTCTAACTGATTCAAGATTTAACAGACATCTTAGATTTGTTCAACACATTTGCATCAGTCTATGACCCTTTGATCTTTTGCTTATAAATTCTGTGTTTGATGCCACCTCTCTCACTGACACCTGAAGGAGGAGCAAGACTCCAAAAGCTTGTGTCTTCAAATAAACCTGTTGGACTATAACCTGATATCATGTGATTTCTGACCTCAGTGCAGCTGAGAGACTGTGAGTGAAAAGGTCAGAAGCAACATTTGCTTGATGCAACTGAACTAGATTAGAGTTCATGGAAAAGCTCAACAGCAGTTTTAGTTTGGTAAAACTAGCTGTCAATGAAGAACTGAATAAGTACTAGAGTACAGTTTCAGAGTCCAGCACAGCATAGACCAAGAGGAGATTGACCGACTGTCATTGAGGTAGCATAAGACGGAGATTCAGACCAGATTGGCAAACGTGAAGAAGACCTTGTGAGCGTTAGTGATATTTGATGATCTACTGTATAATTAACATCTGTAAGGAACTGTTGAGGAATTCTTGGGACTTATCTTCATTGTGTTTGCTATTTGATGTGTGATGTGGAATTTTGAACATAGTACATTACCTTTACATACCACACCTTAATAATGGATGTCAGAAATAAGTTGCACTTGTATTGTAGATTGCATTTTTGTTGTAACATCATATCCTGAAGGTTATTGTGGTTTGTTCATGACCATTTAATATTGTGGCATTGTTCTCCTAGTAAGTCTCCTGCATTTCACATTATGACTACTTACAAAAAAAAAGTTACTGATCCCTAGGCAGACTCTAATATCAATATGGTGGCTGTGATTGTAACATAATAAAGATGAATTTACATTTGTCAAGCAACACCAAGACGGTTCCAAGTGTGCAACAGTTTACACGTGACTATATTACTGTTTGACGAGAGTGTGACTCCATACATATTTCAAGATATCCATCTCTTATGCCTTTATATATAAGTGACACATCAATAATGTGGATATCAACACTGGTTAAATGAATGTGACAGCGGGTTCAAAGTTTTAAAGAAGTTATTTAAACGGACATTTATTTGTGATGACAGTAGACACATGGCCTCAACAGTCAATTACAACTCCAATGGATTACTGACATTATACGAAGAACGCAACATTCTTGAGATCCCCATGAAGAGCAAAAACTTCCATTAAATCACTGAAAGGGTCATGCATCAAAGTTTCAACTTTTAAACTTCTACTACAACAAACAAACTGAAAGCAACACTGTCTAAACAATTTTTAATAGATCTTACGCTCTGAACTGCTGAAAAGATCTGCCTTGAACTTCTAAAACAACTGAGAATCTCTTTTTACAATTATTATTTACTCCATCCCTTAAAAGGACATTTAGTTCCCTCAGAAGCAATTCAAAACTATTCCAAGGTCCCTGAACTAACTTTCATCTTGAGAGTTACCATGGAGATCTTTCTCTTCAACCAAAGCTAAGCAAATCTTCCAGCTTTGTTAAAATCTTAACAACCTTGGATTCTACAAGCTAAGTACAAGATCCCACCCACAGTTCTACATGATTGATTCATTTATTGTCACGTGTACCAAAATATAGTGAAAAGCTTTGTTTATGAGCAGTACAGGCAAATCATTGTAAGCAAAGGATGTACAGATCATAGTAAGCAAAGGATATACAGGTCAAAAAGACTCTTTCTTTTTAATTCCTTCAGACTGGACATGTCCATGAAGGTCAGTGGTATTTTTCAGAAAAATATGTAACCTGACCATACAATGGCTTCCTTTGCACTCTCCTTCTCTCAAAGCTGATCTCCATGGAATCTGAGTCAAATGGCTCTTGCACCCAGGTATTAATGTTCACTTGTTACTTATCCTTTCTGCTCCAATATCATTCTACCTCAAAACTATACATACAGCTTACTATTAAATATTTACAAAACCTGATATTCCTAATACCTTCCTGAGACTTAAGAGACAAACAATCTATCCACAGTTGACATAGATGATTTGGTAATTGTAATTGTTTATAATCATAAATACCCTGCGTCCTCAAACTAGTAAAACAACTTCAATCTTTAATACTCAAGGCACACAGGTCAGTCAGTTGTCAGCAGAATTCAGAAAAGACCCCATAAGCATCCTTTTTCCAGCATTTTACCCTAAATTAAAAGCATGGTCCCAAAACACAATATTACAATATCATGGATTTGTAACAACAGACAGCACTTCACATTCAAATCCATGGCTAGCCGTAATACAAAGCAGTTCTTCAAACCACACAATGATATTCTATCTTGGTGTCATATAGCTGCACATTTTCTTTGCCGTATTACATTTACTTTGCTTTTGTTATTTTATTTTATTTCCAGCTCTATATCAGAATGAAAAAAGAAGCTTGTGAAGTATTTGTCCAAATACCAGTAAAGACTTAATAAAAACCAAAAGAACTGTGGATGCTGTAAATCAGGAATTGTCACCGGACCCGAAACGTTAACTCTTTTTCATCACAGATGCTGCCAGACCTGCTGAGCTTTTCCAGCAACTTTGTTTTTGTACCAGTAAAGACTTGCTGTGTCATGCACTTCTAATGCATCCATTTAAAATTTGAAATGCAAACAATCTGAACAAAATTCAACACAACAAACATTTTGGAGGATTGAGGTTATATAAAGTAGTTGAAGTGTAAGTATGCAGACCTATCAATATAATAGCTCAACTTCAAATCTTTTCACAAGAGACAAAAGAACTGAAAGAGAAACGACACTGGAAGAATTAGGGAGTGAAGGTGACAGGTGATGGCAATCAGCTGACCTACAGCAAAGACAGCTGCAAAGGGGGGACTTTTGTGACCGATTATCAAAAAGATTGCACTTGGATAGCATCTTTCACAATGTCAGAACATCACTAACAATAAAACTCTGCAGAGATGTAGTCACTGCTGTAATATCAGGAACAAGCCTCTTTTCACATAACAAGCTCCCACAAAAGGTAATACGATAATGACCAGTTTATCTATCATCATGTCAATTTGGTTGACAGATAAATATTGGCCAGGACATTCTTATTCAGCTTTTACTCTCTATTATTCATCTGAGTGTGACAACAGCTGTTGATGTTCCACATTGCCAGTTTTTCTCATTATTCTTTCCTCCACATAATTGGTCCCAAATGGTATGATATGAATCATCAATAATCACAGGGCAGTCAGTTGGGATTTATCAGCATGTATCAGTGACATTTACCCTTTTAAAATCTCAGGTGATTACACCATTGTCATGTAACTCCAATGTGAAAGGGTTTTTCTTGTCATACAATAACCCAAATCTTCATCTCTCAAATGAATTACCAGACCATCTCAGCAAGGTAAACAATCTATTCTGCATTCTGGGTCTTTGTAAAACCCATTAGATAATCTAGCTCCTCGCAGACAGAGTCTCTGTTGGACTCCTTGCTGGTTGACAGCTTTAATAGCCGTCTGGGTAATATGCTTGAAGCTATATGTCATCCTCGATGATGCATTT